CTTCAGATGGTCCACCCTGTATATCAAAATAACTATCGTCAATAAATTAAACTTATTTGTATAAAGGCAGTCAATTCAATATAATTTCGTAGTATAACAATTATTTCAACAGTATTTACCTGTGTTAACAATATTTCGCAGTAAGTACAGGATCTGGAATTTTAGATGTAAAAACATTCCGAGTTACAATTGAAATGTGGAGTTCTATAATTAAGTTAACGTATTTATACCAATCTATGTGGCGCTGCTAGCTGTTCTGATATCATACATTAGTTGAAGACTTTAATAGAGGTAAATATATTTCAGGAAATTTTTCTGTATCAGCCTGTTTGTTAATTCCGTTTTTATGTTTTTTAATAAATATCATTTCAGATGTAAGTCGCCTGTGAAGAGAAGGTTCCATATCTAGAATTTTAACATTTTTCCAATCGAAATTATGATCTAACAATGACTGATGCTGTGCTACAACCATGTGTGAATTGTTGGATTTTTTAGAACTAGATTTATGTTTGGCTATTCTAGTTCCTATCTTCCTTTTCGTTTGTCCAACATAGCAAGCCTCACAGTCAAGACAATCAATCCTGTAGACAACGCAACTATGTTCCATACTTTTTAATTTATCTTTACCAGTTTTTATAATTGAATTTAGAGTATTTATAGGCTTGAAAGCAACAGTAAATTCATTCTTTTTTGCTATCGATTTAAATTTTTCTGAAATTTTTTAAATGTACGGTATGATAAAGTAATTATTTATGCTATCGTTATTATTAGAATCTTGTGAAACACCGTTATATTAGTATATAAATTATCTCTTCTTGATAGAGTTTTAATTCTTTTATTAATGGTTGAATTCAAGAGGATAACCATTGTTCAACAGGATGTCAATCATATTTTCGATATTCTTTGTGTGAAATTTCGGGTGTGACAAGAAAATTATTTTATCAAGTTGACCGATTATAACACCTTTTTTATGATTTATCGGGTGCTAAGAATTATAATTGAGATACCTTCCCGAGTTAGTCGGTTTTTTGTAGTTATTAAATATAATATGTTCATTTTCAATAATTAGACTAACATCTAAAAAGTTCATTGATTTATCATTATTTTCTTCACAGGTAAACTTCAATCTGTCATGATAACCGTTAAACAAATCTAAAATTACCATAATTTGATTATTAGGAGCTGCAAGGATGATATCATCCACATATTTATAATAGATTGGTATATTAAAATTACATTTCGAAAGCACATTCATCTCCAAATCCTGTATAACAATAGCTGCCAAAATGGGAGACAATGGAGAACCCATAGGCATGCCAAAGATTTGCTTGAAAAAAAGTTCATCAAATTGAAAATACGTGGAATTAAAAATAAGAGAGATAGCTTTTAAAAATTCATTCCTTGGAATCTTAGTATTTTTAGAAATAATAATTCCATCTGGAATCAATACTTCTAATTACCAACTCCTCAGGAATATTCGTGTACATTGATACTATATCAAATGATAATATTTTGTGTTCGTTATTCAAAGGTAAACCATTAAGTTTCTTAGAAAGTTCAAAACTATTTCTGATAAAACTGAATCCCTTTTTTAAACTTTTTTTAATTGTATCTTTAATAAATGCAGCTAATGGATATAAAGGGCTGTTGATACAACTAATTATTATTCTTAAAGGGTACCCATTTTTATGTATCTTTGGCAGTTCATAAGTTCTCGGTACCGTCCCATCTGTAACATTTAATTTTCTGTATGTACATTGATCAATAAATTCCATGCTCTTCCACCTCATTAATAATTTATGTACTTGATTCGTCATCATTTTTGTCAGATCTTTTTTAATCATAATATAAGTTTTATTATCGGCTAACAAGTTATGCATACTCTTTTTATAATCATTAGTATTTATGACAACCGTAGAATTTCCCTTGTCTGCTCTAGTTATCAAAATTTCAGGATTTTGTGTTATAAATTTTTTTGTCGCATTCATTCCTTCTTTTAAAATACAATCTATTTCATTAGTTTTGTAATTATGTAAAGAATTCTTTTTTTGAATTTGGATGGTATCATTCCTAATAGATTTTTTAGTGTTATCATCACTTTTGATTATGTTAAATTCTATTTGTTTAATTAATTCCAAATGCATTTTTTCTTTGTTAATAAGATTATTGGTTAAATTAAATTTTTGGCCTAGTTGTAAAATTATTTTAACTTTGTCTGGAATGTGAACATTGCTTAAATTAACTAATCAATTTTCATTAATATTGTTACAAGAATACTTTTCTTTAAAATTCATGGGGTTGATATAAACGCTAAAAGTTTTATCACTATTTAGATAAATAAGTTTAATTTATTGACGATATTTATTTTGATATATAACAGAATCGGGGAATTGTATGTTCAATATCTTACATCGCTGAATTTATGAAGTACTTGGATGGATTTTTTCTATAATTGAATACTTTTTGACATATATGAAGGAAAATTGTTACCGAAGAATAATTGTTAAACTGAGAAGTAACGGATCATTGTATGAACAAATTTTTTTTGATTCCAATAACTATAATGACTGTAGAAAACACTAGCGTCTTACTAATTTTTGTTTAAATTTACTTACATTGTATATGAATGTTAACTGAAGATGATTTAATTTAGACCGAAACGTCTTATTGTTAATA